TGAAATGAGGTGGGCGGTGGAGAGAGGGGCGAGCCGGAGGGCCAGGTGGGGGACAGGGCCGCCCCGTGGGCCCTTCGGCCCAGGTCCCTGTGGTCGTCCCAAGTGTGTGAGGCCAGAGGGGGCGAAGCTTGCCATGCAGGGAGCGTCCGGAAGTGGGTGGTCTCTGGCGTGGCCCGGAAGTGGGTGGTCTCTGGCATGGGAAGGCCCTAGACAGACAGTTACTGCCCGACCATGCGTGCTGGCCAGAGGAGGCCGGAGAGGCTCGTGTAGACGCTACATAGCTGCAGTCACGCTAGACCCACTCCGTGCGTGGCGTTCTCCGGCACAGACGCCAACCCAGACCCCACACCGACCAGCCCACAGCACTCCCCCTCGGGCAGGGGCGAGCTGGCACAGCCCTGTCCGGGCCTGCGGCTGAGAGGCCCACAGCTGAGCCGGCCTCGACAGCCAGGCCAGGACAAAGGGCTCCGGACCTGAAAGCTGGGTCCAGTGTGAGCACCACGCGTGCTCGAAACCCGTCGAATGTCGGGAAAGCGTAGTGCTGGGGACTTACGGTTTGGAGAATCGGGCATGTGGGGTGTGGCTCGGATGTTGCCCGAGTGACCGCAGAGTGGGGAGACCCCTGGGAGTGTGAGCATCCTCTCCCAGCCTTCCCGAGCGAGCTGGGGTGGGGCCCCGTGAGGTGGATGGGGTTAGGGTCCCACGTACACAGCACGCCCTGTTCTCATGGGATCAGGTCTGTGCAGGCGACAGTGTGGTCGTTGGTGGCTGGCGGTTGTGCAGTGGGGAAGCGGCAGGGCGACAGGGCTCGGGGAGGACGCTAGCCGTGAGCCGGGGGAGGAGGTGGCGACAGCTCAGTGCCCGTCGCCCGTCCCTCCTCGCTCAGTGGCTTCTGGGAGGACGGAGCGGCTGTCTATGGACCTCTGTAGCCCAATTCTCCCCACACCACCCCACACCACCATTTCCGAGGTGTTAAACCGTCCCCAGTTTGGGCCAGCAGGTGGCGTGGTGGCTAAGGTGCTGGATTCTCACATGGCCGACCACGGTTCGAGTCCCAGACCTGGTGCCTTGAAAATCACCGGGTGCATGTGCGTGTGCCCCAAATCCCAGGAGGAGAAGGGAGAAGGGAGAGTGTGGCCGTCCCCTCCGGGGAGTGATTTCTCACCTTCCCTCTCTCTGTCTCTCTGACCTTCCGGCGAGCACACACACCCTATGGCAAAAGTCTAAAAAGGAAAAGTTACCTTGTTCACTAGTTGGAGCTCCAGAGAGAGCGGCTTAGAGTCGGGTGGCCCGGCGAGTGCGGCCCCCACACCGAGGTCTCCACACGTGCCTCAGGTCCCTGGAGAGACCCCCAGAGGGAGAGAGCCTGAGCAAGGCCACTGTGGCTCTGGGCTCCCGCGTGCTGGGGTGGGAGGGCGTTCCACCCTGACCGCCACGTCCCCACAGCCGGCTGTCCATCACCCAGAAGTTCCCCAGCGCCCCGGCCAAAGGGAGCAGGAGGAGGAGGAGGAGGCTCACGGAGCTGGCGAAGCCCAAGACCAACTGGCAGGTCCTCAGGGACAGGTGAGGGCAGGCCCAGCGTGGCCTCGCTGGGGATGGGGCTGGGGTGCCTCCCACCCCTGTGGTTCCCCTCTCGCTTGTCACCAGACATGATAGATGCGGGAGGGTGGGGCTCAGGCAGTACGGAGGGAGCTGAGGTGTCAGGGGCTCCTGGAGGGTCTCCGTGCACGGCTGGAGGCCTGGGGCAAAGGCGGGGGCCGCCGGTCTCGTCGCAGGCTGGGGTGCCGCTGTAAGGGCTATGCCTGGATCTCCTGGCACAAGATGGACCTGCAGTTCTGTCTCTACTGGTAAGTCTAAGGGAGTCTGCTCATGTGGGGAGCACGCCGGGCTCCGGGGAGACCCTGGCTCGAGCCCTTCTCCTCTGGGTGACAGGGTCAGGGAGGGCCGGGCTCGGGGCAGGCTCCCTCTCTCAGCACTGTCCCCTCCACCCGCCGGGCCTGGATTGGCAGCAAAGGCCTGCTCCCGCGTGGCGGCCGGCCTCTCGTCCACCAGCCCTCTACTGTCCCAGCGGCCACCTTTGGGCTGGTTGGCGTCACGGTGTCGCCACTGACTCCTGGCGTGGTCTCCCTGTGGTCCCTCGGGTCTGACCCACTCCCTGCTCCTCTGCCTGCCCGTGCCGAGGTCTCTCCCTCCGGAAAACCTCCCTCAGTCGTGGTCCTGTCCGTGCCTCTGGGGTCCGGCTCCGGTCTTGGAGTAGAACATGGCCCGGCCCTGGCCCCTCACCCTGAGCCACCCGCTGTGTTCCAGGCCGTCTGTGTATTGGACCGATCGCTTCCTGGAGGACACCACCCTCTCCATCACCATGCCTGGTACGCAGTGCCTGCTGGTCCCTAGTGGCTTGCTTTCTAACTTTCTCCCCTCTCAAATTAAAAAAAAAAAAAGGAAGAAAGAAAACCTTGTAAGAGTGCTTAGTATCAGAGCAGCTATGCAGGTTGTCTTCTGGGGGCATTTTAGACTTCACGCTCAGGAACCACGAGCCGTGGAAACCCCAGGCCGGCACCAGCCTCAGGCTCAAGTCCACTTTCCCAACCCGTGGCTTCCTGGACCCACACTGAGCCCTGTTGAAGAGCTGTGGGCCAAGTCCCTTTTCCAACCCGACCCTCCATGCTGTGTGCCCCTGAACAAGGGACTTCAGGCCTTTGAGCCTCGTCCCTAAAACGGGGGCCCTTCTGCAAGGTGTCCGGTGCTGAGCTACATACCCCATAGGCCCTCAGGCTGGGGGCTACTGAGCCTGTGCAGGCGGGTGGAGGCTGCCACCGCTCCTCACAGTGAGGCAGCTGTCTGTCATTGCACAGTTGTGTCCCCCCGAGTGGAGGAGCTGGCCCGGCCTAGGAGATTCTACCTGGAGTACTACAATAACAACAGGTGAGGCCCTGTGGGCTGTGTGGGCTGTGTGGGCTGTGTGGGGTCTGTGGGGTCTGTGGGCTCCGTGAGGTCTGTGGGGTCCGTGGGCTCTGTGGGCTCCGTGTGGTCTGTGGGGTCTGTGGGATCTGTGGACTCTGTGGGATCTGTGGGATCTGTGGGCTCTGTGGGCTCTGTGGGCTCTGTGGGCTCCGTGAGGTCCGTGGGGTCCGTGGGCTCTGTGGGCTCCGTGGGGTCTGTGGACTCTGTGGGGTCTGTGGGGTCTGTGGGATCTGTGTGATCTGTGGACTCTGTGGGATCTGTGGGATCTGTGGGCTCTGTGGGGTCTGTGGGGTCTGTGGGCTCTGTGGGGTCTGTGAACTCTGTGGGCTCCATGGACATCTATGGGGTCTGTGGGATCCGTGGGCTCCATGGAGTCTGTGGGGTCCATGAGCTCTGTGGGCTCTGTGGGGTCCGTGAGCTCTGTGGGCTCCATGGGATCCGTGGGGTCCATGGGTTCTGTGGTTTCCGTGGGGTCTGTGGGGTCTGTGGGCTCCTTGGGCTCCGTGGGCTCTGTGGCAGCGTGTGCAGGGCTCAAGCAGAGGGGTCCCCCCTGTGGGGAGGTGACCTGTGTTCCAGGCCGGCTTGCTCACTTCCCACTGGGGCCTCCGAACTCCTGATAAAACGGGCAGTGGTAGGGCGTGCTGTGCGTGGTCTCAGCAGACAGGTGAGTGTGATGTCATCGTCTTGCTCCTAGCTGTCGTTCGATGATTCTGAAAAGGTAGAACTTGTGAGCTGCATTATTAGTGATGTCCAGTCTTTTGTTTTCAGTTAGAATCTCCATGCTCATGGGGCCAGCAGGGGGCATGGTGCTTAAGGGCGCTGGACTCCCATGTAGCTGACCGAGGTTCAAGTCCCAGACCTGGTGGCTTGTGTTCTTGCATTCTTACTCTCTCTCTCTCTCTGGCCAAAGTCAATAATAATAATAATAATAGTAATAATAAATAAAATTAAAGAAAATAATTTTTTAAAAATAAAATGAAGTGATCTTTAGTAATTTAGACTCAAATTTATTTTTATTTCTTTTTAAAATTTATTTATTTACATTCATTTACTGTACATCATTACAGCATACAAAATGAGATTTTTTTATCCAGAATACACTGTGTATTGGCTCAATCAAGCACATCAACATACGTGTTATCATCAACAGTTTTCCATTTCTTGTTTCCTATATATTTTGCTTTTTTTCTCCATCCTTAATTCCCTATCTCTCACCTTCTGCCATCTCCCACCCTCCTCCCACACTGTCTCTGGTATCCATGGTTGCTTTCTTTGCCTCCCCCCCATATTATTGATTCGCTAAAGATCTTAATTAATCTAAATATTTTCAGTAGCAAGCACAGCTGATATACACCTTTCCTTGAACTAAAGTCTAACTGTAGACATCCTATACAGTAGCACCTAGCTGGGGCTATATAGCTTACAGCAGTCATCAAATAGGTGTTTTTAATGCATTTCTTTAATTTCAGGAAAAACGGTTTTCGTATTTTTTCTCTTAAAACATTTTTAATTAACAAATTTACATGTGTTCCCTAAGCATCATCACAGCACACAAAATATGATTTCCCATCCAGAATATACTGTATAGTGGATTAATCACGCGTGTTATCATCAATAATTTTCCATTTCTAGTTTTTTCTTTTTTTTTGGAGAGATTTTCGCTATAGGGCACGTGCGCTCGCCAGCCAGACAGAGAGAGACATAGAGACAGAAAGCAAGAAAGCACCCCCCAGGGGGTATGGTCACACTGCAATCCCTTCTCCTCCATTATCCTCTTAGGATCTTGGGCACGCACACACACGTGCCCGGCGTGAGTTTTAAGCCACCAGGTCCGGGACGCGAACCGCGGTCAACTACATGGGAGTCCAGCAACATAGCCATTACGCTAACTGCTGGTTCTCATTTCTAGTTTTTATATATGTGTGTGTGTATATATATATGTATATATATATATATATATATATATATATATATATATATTTTTAACCCTGATTTCTCACCCTCTGCCACTTCCCACCCTCCTCCTACGTTGTCTCTGGTTCTGCAGTTTTTTT